CACTAAACACTGTACTTCACTTTACAATTACAAGTCTTTGAACAATCGCACTTACACTGCTGCTACAACACTCAACTGTCTGCTACGCGGCGCCGATCGCGCTTATACATGCCAATCGACGCATTCTAGAAAAGTCCCGTTAAATTGAGAGTTAACTAGTACCCGCGAGTGCGTAGTACCTACATATACGCAGGTAACGCGCAGCAAACAGGTGCAGATTTCGTTGCACTGCGTAAGGCTCATATTAGAATGAGTCGCACCACTCGACCTTTATCCCGAATATTAACGTCTCGAGTCTCGACCCGCGGTGTTCTGGTAAAATCTGTCTCCAGTATTTTCGCGGTTTTATTTTGGGAGCGTTTGTGACACTGCCCCCCTCTTAGACGTGTCAGGCGATCGATGTCGATTATCTTGGGCTTCTCCAATAGGTCACGTCGTTGATTTTCGTAATCACTTTATAGGGTTCTTCCCAGCGGGGCTGGAGCTTTCGGGCTTTCCGATCTTTTTCTGTGGGTTGTGCAACCACAAGAGTTCTCCTTTCCCGAAGCCTCGAGCGTTGGCATTCCGATCATACCTGCTTTTCATTTTCTCGACATATTTCAGGTTATTTTCTCGCACGAGCTCGTGCTTTTCATCCAACCTTTTTTGCAGCTCTGCGAAGTACTCCACTACTGATTTAGAGGCAGCAGGAGGTGTTGCGGTAAATTGGTCCGCGGGTGAGCGTATCTCTCTTCCAAAGTTGATTGTCGATAGAGTAAATACAGTGATGTAATGTGCAGCGGACCAGTACGCCATCAAAAAGAGCGGAATGTAACGATCCCAGTCCCGTTGATGTTCTTCTACGACCTTCGCCAAATGATTTTCCAGGGTTTGGTTGAATCTCCTCACCATGCCGCCGGACTGTGGGTGTGTCGGAGTCGTACGCGTCTTATTTATTCGAGTAAATTACACATCTTCTGGAATAAGTTTGACTCAAAATTCCTTCCTTGATCACTGTGTAATTCCAACGGAACGCCGAATCGGCACACCACTTCTTCTAAGAGCCTCTTGGCTACGGTCTGAGCTACCTGGTTTGATGTAATGTAGTAAATACTTCATGATATTTGGTGAAATAATCTTGAACCACCACAATGTAACGGTTTCCATCTTCTGTTTGTCCAAAAGGCCCAGCGACGACAATGGCAATTCTTTCCCAATGTGCGCCGACCTGGTAAAGCGGCATCTTCCACTTGGATCTAGTCCGATGCCCTTTGACCGTGATCTTCGACGTCCTCGATAGCTTGATATTGACGCTCCATAGCTTGTCGTCGGCCCTCTCGAATAGCTTGTATAGTCGCCATTAACGATAATATAAAACGCAAGCGCGGTAGTTGTAGTGGTAACACCACTGTGGTGTGCTTCTTGTATGTGTGTGATCTTCTTAAGGCGCCGCTACTCCTGACTCCCTCAAATGGTCCATAATGACCTGTCAACGAGTGCGTACGTCTTCGCTTACGTCGCGTGGTGTGACTGGGAACAAACTTCTGATACCAGTTGTTACGTGTCGGGATGGGGTTTATAAATTATATGCTAGTTCACGCTTGACAGTACTTTATTCACCACATAGTTAACACACAATGTTAATCACAATACACTCACTAAACACTGTACTTCACTATACAGGTCTTTGGACAATCGCACTTGAACACTTTACTTGCACTCCGAAATCGCTGTTAAAACTCAACTGTCCGCTGCGCAGCGCCGATCGCGCTTGTACACGCCAATCGACGCATTCTAGATAAGTCCCGTTAAATTAAAAGTTAACTAGTACCCGCGAGTGCGTAGTACCTACTTATAGCGCGCATAAGTTGTAAGCAAGTGCAGATGTCGTTGCACTTTCTCCCTTAAGCCGCACTGCATAAGGCTCATATTAGAATGAGCCGCACCACTCGACCTTTATCCCGAACATTCGTTGTTCTGGTAACATCTGCCTCCAGTATTAGCGGGTTTGTTTCGAACGTTTGTGACAATATCGTTTAAAAAATATTTGTTATAAAAATAAATAATACACATCACGAATAGGTGTAAGGTAGATAAGTAACTAAGTACCGAAAAATAATTTAGGGTAAATTAGTGGGTAAGTACAAACTTGCTTACCCTAAAATATTTTTAGGATTTTTATTTATCACTGTGAATAGGTAGGTACTTAATATGTCACACATATAATACAGGACAAATTATATTTCCAGTACATATTAAGAGTCTGCAAGCTCAATTGCTGTCAGACGGACTGACGGACGGAAGGACAGGGTGAAAAAATAAAGGTTCCTTGAGGGTTTCTTGTTCGCTATGAACGGAACGGACCCCAAAAAAATATGTAGGGTCAGTTCGCCTGTTCGCGTCCATTTAGTGCAGTTGCAAAGTTTGACGGCGATAATAAAAATATCCCAGCTCTAATTACTATGAAAAATTTATGTAATGTGTTCATTATATAGTCTATTTTAAGATTAACTTTCAGTTTTGTTCGAAACATCTATTGTTTTTTATTTAAATAGATAAACTTCGGAATAAGGCGTTTTACCCACTTTGCGTCCACAAAATCCAAATTGCGTCCACCCGTGGACCATTTAGCGTCCACCACCTTAGAAAAGGAATATAGGGGTGATATTTATAGAATTTGTATAGAAAGATTGTACCTATTTTAACAATTTCTTTAATTTAGAATATAAATATTAAAACCAACATTATTATCATTAAAATTATCAAAATTTAAAAAAATAAAAAATATTCTTCTCAATATTGATTGAATTTAAAATTATATAAGTAGTAGATAAATAATGATTGCATCTTTAAGAATAAACAGTAATCAGTTTTGTTAATTTTACCCTAAAATCACAAGGTATGTTTTTCTCATTGTCGTCTTCTACATCTGAAATTAGTATATCGTCACATTCAGAAAAAATTCTTTCTTAAATTCCTGATTTACCATTTCCTGTGTGACTTCTTGAAGAGCATCTTCGACCTTCTTCTTTCGTTTTGGAGCAGTTTTACGAACCGTTTGAGATTGTTTTAAACTCTGTTCTTGTTTCTCTATCCGTTCTAACTTTCTTTTTCGTATTGCTTCCTGCTTTTCATTCTTGATCTGCTCTTTATCTTCTTAATACTGGATACATGGAGTACATGCAGCAGGAGATATGGTTGCTAGAGTACTTTGATTATCTTTTCGTGCTTTGTTAGACATTTCGGGTAGCATCAGGTGGTGTCTGGTCCCGGTTTCTTTACTTCATTTGGTCTGCGCCCACTGATTTTGTACAATATGTCTATGTGTCTTACCGATTTATTCTTTTCTCAAATTTCTTTGAACGCTTTCTTTAAAGCGTCTTCTGTATATATTCTCTTTTCCTTCTACAGAAAGTAGAAAATCTGTATGTCTCCGAAGAACTCATCTCAAATAGAAAAAAAAAAAATGAAACAAATAAAGTATTTGATTGATTGATTGAAATTACTCATTTCATTTAAAAATAGCATTAAAAACACGTAGCCTTAATAAAAATGTATAATAATAATAATCAATACCTATATTTTACATTATAATTAATTAATTGTATTTAACGAAAATAGTGGACGCAATTTGGTTTATTATTATCCCCTGTAGTTTTAGTTTGCGTCCATTGCGGACGCAAATTGGAAGTTTTGTAATTTCGATGTAGTAATTCGCGTCCACCTGATTTTATTTATTAAATATAAAAAACATAATAAAATTTATAATTAATATCATTCCTTTCTTCATTATAAAAGTCTAGAAACAGCTATGTATCCTAAAATTAACATAAAAAAATAAAAATCTTACCATCGAACGCGCCGCTGCACACTATTTTTTATCTAAACATCCCGCGTGTACGCACTCCCTTGATGAATAACCGAGACTAATTATTTTTTTTAAACGGAATTGTTTGGCGCATCTACCTTTTGACCATGTGTTCGTGCCTCTTATATATTAAGGTATTAGCGGTAATTACTTTTTGTTTGATTGGTGTGTTAGTTTACTTATTATTGATGATTTTTTAAGGGAGATCCGTAAAATGGAGGCGAATTGGGCGATGGACGCGAACAGGTGAACTGACCCTATAGTTGCCTATAATAGAACGCAATTAAGCCTTTTTTCATCTCGCCTGATATTTTAAGTGATGAATAGGTAGGTACGGAACTGCAGACCTACCTACTATCTACTAAATTACCAGCGTAAATTGCCAATAAAAAATAATAATACAGGCTTACAAGAAATCGAAACATCTATTTTAATAGCGCACACTATTTATAACATATTAAGAAAAATAAATATTATATTAATAAGAACTCAATACATTACCCAAACACAATGACGTATATTATATAAAAACATCTTAAACCCAAACAAGTAATGGATTGGGTGAAAAGTATGAATAATGACACAATAAGCGGAATGACAGCAGAAGGTCATTCCACTCCACCCATGTTACCGTACCGTATTCTTTTACGTAATTTATTCCACGCTCAAAACGCTCTCCGACTGTCTAAAATACAAACGGTATTATTATTACTTCTAGTCGTGGTGCGCGGATTGCGCTTTGCTACTCGCTACTCGAGCGAGCCGAGCAAGCGAGGTCATTCCATTACGTAGGTAGACAAAGATACGGTGCGGGCGAGGGACCCGATCCGATAATAAATACCTCTTCTATATTAACCCACAGCGTGCCTGTATGGGCAACAGTTTCCCTCACTCAGACAGAGTGAGAAAAAACCATACGGTAAAGTTTGTAGGTGTGAGTGAGATAGATAACGCGGCGTCTATCTGCCCCTAGGTATTTGCCAGTCAGCCAATACTGGCACTTCGGCTTCGCTATTCTGGCACTGGCAGAAGCGTCTGTACCTCGGTGTTGTGCGCGAGTGAACGGAACAGCATTTTTTAGTTCGGTCGGCTCGGCTAGCCTCGGCTCGGCTAAACTAGAATTTCGATCGAAGGGAAACGACAAAGTCGTCCGATCGGTGACTCGGCGCGTTACCTACTTGTGCTCAGTTATTACTAATTATTACTATTGTGATTTGCATAATCCGATGCAATAAAAAAGTCATAAGGTAAACATAACAAATTCAACTTCGTGTGTGATTATTATACCTACTACATATAACATACACAGACTACATTATACATAGCGTTGTTGTAGTTTGACAAGAGAGAGTCGTTTATTTGGCCGGCCATTTTGTATTTTCAGTAGTAGCTAAACGAAAAAAGCGAAGATTGACAGAACTTCGCGGAAAATTGAACTCCTAATTACATTTACAATTTTTAACTTTGTTGTCACAGATAATTTGTCGGCGTGAAGCTAACATAAGTTTATTGACATCCCATTGTGTGTATTATTAATAGAAAATTTTCGGCACTTGACTGATTGCAAAGTGAAACTGAAGCAAAACAATTTGCAAAATTGTGTATAAGTTGAACCAACGGATTCGTTCACCTTTTTCATCTGTTAAATTGACAATGCGAGTAAGTATATTAAATAAATTATTTACATTCCATTAAAACTGTATTGTCCTGTCTCATTATTTTTTATGAACAGCATGAATGGATGTGTTTTGTGGTTTTGTTTATGATGTATTTTTCTATAGAAAACGCTTCGTTTGTATGTAGTCACTTCAAGTAGACAAAGTAGATTTTCACCATGCCAATAAAATGTTTAATTTATGCTAAAAATCTAATAAGAAATGCATTTTCGATATATTAATAGGTGTGTTAATAATGGGGTGCGCTGAACATTAATTTCATTAATAAAGTAATTTGATCTAGGTGTTCTTGTATCTGTGAATAAGTTTCTAATTCTGTTAAATACAATTCCAAAGTAATAATTCTAACCCACCAATATTGTTTTGAAAAGTTAAATGTCCAAACTCTGTACTGTCAATTAGGTACCAAGTTGCATACATACTTAATTTTTAGTTTAATGTGGACATAATACTTAAAAGAGATGGGTTAACTTATCTCATAACTTGTTCACAGGTAACTTAACATGGCCACAAAGGCTGAATCCGAATTTCCACCTTCGCCTTCAAATGATCACTCAGGTTTGTTTTTATTTTGAAATTCACATTTGTTTATATGCCTATCTGTGTTTGTTCTTGGTTAGCCTTATTTTTTACTTACATGTGTTATAAAGTGCTGAGACAATATTTTCAAGCTATTTACAGTTAAAGTTGGCATAACAATACTTTTAACTGCATAAAGTAAACTTTAAACTTATGAAACTATTGAATTTGAAATTTGTTATACTGCTTTGGGTTTTATTTACTAACCTGCTTTATAACTATGCATGTCTTTCATTGTTATTGGTGACAATTTAGAACATACTTAACAAATTCTTAATATTTGTTGATTGATTTTAACATTAACTTTAGGCTGGGAGCATATGTACGGTTTCCTGATCAGGTATTCATATTCGGAACTCCTTGAGCATAGAGTAGATGTATCTTTTTTATTAGTTAGTTTTCAAACTGAATGTAAGGTTTCCTCCATTCTACACAAATGAGAATAGACAGTGCCTCCTTGAACTTTTTCTAAGAAAGGCTGTGCACTCCGGTTTCTGAAACGGAACAGAGACCGTATGGTCTCCAGATCAGGAATTCCAATAATTGTACAGATCATTGTACATTGTACATATTCAAATAAATATGTACAATGTACATATTTTATTTTATTTAATTTTTAGCAACTTTGCTTTATCGCCATACTATTTGTCTCCAACAATCATACTGGTTGACTGGTAGAGAATGCCTATGGCATTAAGTCCGCCGTTTGCTTATGTTTAGCAATAAAGTTTAAATAAATAAATAAATATTCATATCTACATTGTACATACGCATCCAACCTTAGTATGCAATATGAGATAAGTAAAATACAACTCTGAGGAAGTTATGACTTTACAGAGATTGTCACATACTATTTTGTGATAAATATGATTTGCTGCTTCTGTAAGGTAAGGTAGATAAAATGAAAGATTATTTATTTTTAATAATTTTTGATTATATCTATATGTACACAGGTAAATAATAATACCCAATAAATATACACAACTAATAATTATATAGCTGCACAGACAAGGGACTTTTTTGGTGGAGGATAATGAGGACTTGTCATGGACTCACAGCTGAGACTATGTTGCGTTGTAATTAACATGAAGCCTAAAAAAAACTCTAAAATTAATAGTTAATAAAACTCAAAACAGGCTTTTACTTACTGCACTAAAAAGTAAAAAATAACAAAATATACTCTCTGTTTACTTTATTATGGCTTTAGAGTAAGCCATGTTTATAGTTGATTTAAAATGTATATATAGGTTTAATTTACGTATTTTTGCTATTTTTACCTCAAACTAAAAATCTACCCTCTGCTACCATAACTGTTATTTGGTCAATGTTTTGCCAATTTAATAGCAAGTGTTATACCTTTTTGAATAGTTAAAGAGATGTAGAAGTTTTTAAAATTATTTGCAGAATAAGTTCCATACATTATTTTTTAGAAAAGCGCTTCAAAGTTAAGGACACTTGGTGAAAATTCTTTAGTTATAACCGTTGCCGAGCAGTTTTTTTAAGCCGTTAGAAGTAGGTTCAGTTTTTATTCATTATTTTTATTGCTTGACATGTCTTCTAACTAGATACATTAAAAAATCGGACCATTGGAGCTCTAGTTTCAAAAAAAACCGACAAAAACCCAAAAAATATAGATTTTTTTAAAAAAATCTTTAATATCCGATATCTCCATAACGGTTAAGTTTCGGACACCATATTATAGGACCAAATCCATCAGAAATGACCTGAATAATAATAACGTCCTTCAATATTCAGTATGACTTTCCCTGTAACCCTGTATATATACCTCTCAAATGTCTGAATAAAATTGGTCAACACCTTTTATTTGCCCGGATCTGATTGTCGACTTAGTTTGAAGAATCAATGATCTTGATTTTTTAAACTAAGTCGACAGTTGGATGTGAGTAAATAAAAGGTGTCGACCAATTTTTTTAGTAATGTTGGAGTCAAGGAATTAAAGGAAAAAAATATCAATGTATTTGGAAAGATATGCAGATAATTAAATAATTAAACATACATAAAGATGAAATATATAAGCATAGGCTCTTTTATTCTTCAAACTAAGTCGACAGACAGATCCGGACAAATAAAAGGTGTCGACCAATTTTTTTCAGTCATTTATGAGCTTATGGTTTCAGAAAATCGTAAACAAATCCATGTATTCGATGACTTAAGTAAAATAAAAAAAAAATGGTGGTCGACTCAAGGTAGCGAATAAATAGAGCTTGTCTACTCATGACATTTATATTCTACTCATCAAAAACTTTCGTTTCACATACATTTTCTTGATGTATTTGATAAATTACAATTACACCTTAAATAAAAACTGAAAGTGACGTCATAATTATGCATGCGGGCAAAATCAAGCAACTTCAGGGATGTCGATCTCTAGACCTATGGCTTTATTGTTCATACCCCAAAAATGATTCATGTATCTGATCGAAAGGACTTTTATACAGCCGGCTCTCCGTATAATGGCTTACTCTAAAGCCCTAATGAAGTAAACAGAGAGTATATTTTGTTTATTTTTTACTTTTTAGTGCGTAAAAGCAAGTAAAAGTAAGTAAAAGCGTGTTTTTTAGTTTTTTAAACTATTAATAAAACTCTCCATTTCTGATAAGGCTTCACTATTGCAAGACTTTTTTATTAACCCCTTTAACGTGAAATAAACAGAATATATTAAGACGAATGTAATGAGCCCAAACTCGATTTGTTTACAAGTAGGCAGTCCTAGGTCCTTCAGCCAGATGAGCTTACAAAAACTATATCATTCAGTATGACGTTCAGTTCGGCTTTCAGGCTTTGCTATTTACGGAAAATGCGATACTGTGTCAAGCAGGCTGTCGGATACTACACGGACAGGCAGAAACCAGTGTGCCTCTCGCACACTGGTTTCTGCCTTCTTTCTCGACCTGTCCAAGGCTTTTGACATAGTAGAAAAGGTTTGACGTAAATTCGTGAAACTGGAATTAGCAGACACATCCAGCAGCGGGACTGTCACCAAACTTATTTTTGGCAAATGTTGGTTTTTCTTTAAAAGAAACGAATATATATAAGATGTTTTCATGAGGGTATCTACCTTACGCCATTTTTACCCGGCTGCGCAATGCAAGAGCGCGAAGCGCGACGCGCAGACAGGGTTATGTGTTTAACAGTCTATATATGTATGTTTGTTCCTTTGTGGCACACTAGAGACCAAACGCCTGGACCGATTTTGATGATTCATACATCAATCGATTCGTCTCAATTATGGGAGTGCTACTAAAGATATGATAGTTATCAAAATTCAATATGGGCAAAATTGGGCGCCATATTGCGACGAAGTAAAAAAAATAAGTTGACAAAATATGTCGAGTGGGGTATCACTGTCTAGATAATCAAAAATAATATTAAGGTTCCTTATACCATTTTTCATTTAATATGATTGTTTAGGATCTCCAACGTTTTAAAGTTGTATATTAACCACTTACGCTTTTAATTTCAATCTTACGTTTGTATGGATCTTTGTTACTCTTTCATCTAAAAAATACTGAATGGATTTTAATGAAACTTAACTCATATAGCTCATATATAATAATTTATGTAGTTATTCAGTGAATTGGCCAATATATAACAATAAGTGTCATATAAGACGGAAAAAAATCTCCCCTCTGCGAGCCATTTTGGCCTGCACTGCAAAAACAATAAAAGTTACATGAATGTAATGTAGAGTGAAAATGTATCTCTTAAATAGTTCTAAAAAAAGTCCGTGACACCATATATCTATTTTTAATGTGTAAGTTATTACCGCTAAAATAGTGAATCAAAACTAAAATATTATTTGATATCTATTTCCAAAATGCACATTTTGTATTAACAAATAATTTTTTATCAAAACAAATACTTTTATCGCTTTTGATATTTAAAGACGATAAACTTTGCTTTTTACACTATGTCATTTCGACAAATATTTAAAAAGTTACAACGATGACAAAGTGATAGCGCGGTGTACTATGTAAAAGAAAAAAAATGGGCTATTCGCAGTATCTGATCCTATACGAAGCACTAACAATGAAACTGTGATACAGTTCCTTCTTATTAAATGATGAAAAATATATTATCATAATAGGTATTTATGATTATTGAATTTTAATGAAAACTCATAATTTTACTGTTTTTCATTTTTTTAACGATATTACTTAATGTTACAAAAAAGGTTTACTTAATATAATGACAAATAACCCATTTTTCGCTAGTAAGTACATACTAATTGGAATCCCTGTATTTATTAATCAGTTCGCGATAATATTGGTTTTGTAATAATTCTGCAAAATTCAAAGTAAATAATGTAGATTTTTATAGGTAAATCACCCCTTTCATCACCCTACGCCTATAAGTATTACGATGTTGTAGCTAAGAACCAAGTTCCCATCTACTTCTATATGGGAATTCATTATATTCGATTTAGCTATTAGGGCACGGAAGCGCAACAAACAAACTCACTTTCGCATCTATAATATTATATTATATTTACTGGTGATCCACCCGGGCATTGTACGGGCGAAATTTATTTATCGGGATAAAATATAGCCTATGTCACTCGGACAAAATGTATTTAAATAAAGAAAAATGTAATAATAAATAATGTAGCTACCTTATGATGAATGAAACCGGTTCAGTAGTTTGACAGATTATTTGTTACAAACATACAAATCTTGCCTCTTTATAATATTAGTATAGATAGCTAGGATAAGCTAAGTATTTAATTGATGAAAAAGATTTAAAAATAAAGTAAGTAATACGTTTATTTGATTATATTTGTAAAAGTTACTTAGTATTTATGCTTAACAGTGATACGTTATTCGGTATTTTTCTTAACAAACAAAAATTTGTAAAATAATTGCCATGATTGCACTACTGGGAGTACTCTTCATTCGAGCTTTACACTACCAACAAAAAAGGGTCGATCACAAAGTCTTTGACCTGTTATATGTGAACGCTTTAAAAGAAAACTACAAAGAGAACTATAAATTGATAATAAATGAGATTGCTATGGTGCTCTACCTAACGTTATGAAAATTTTGTTATGCGCCTTTAGTTAAATCAAATATTATAAACTTTGCTTTGGTGATTGCATAATTATTTAATTTAGTGATCTAAGGCAGTTGCCACCATTGTCCAAAACAACAAAAGGGAATTACTGCTTTCTTCAACCTGCGATATAAACGTCATTGATTGGTATTGTATATAGGGTGATTAAAAACATTTGAAGTTAACTTCTGGCATCTACATATTGGGTTTTTGTGAATTATGTAGGTATATCAAATTTTGAGACTAGGAACTGACACTGCATTTGTGTATATAACAATCTTAGACGTCCGGCATTGACATGACAATGTGGCAATTTTAAATAGTCGACGAATAAAAGTAAATGAATTTTATATTTATTGCTAAACTATTAAAAAAAACATAAACAAAAGATGACTTTTTGAGTAAGTGCTAGTTTACTATAAAATTTACATACATTAGAGATATTTATGTAACTACTTCATTTAACTTCACACACTTTTGCGAAAATTGAGGCCCATCTGTAGCCTTGACCCCGCTGGTAAAGTCTCTCTATGTCTTAATAAATCAATCTTTTAGACCGACGCAAGATACTTAATAATTCCCGCGATATTAATTCCCTTACTGAAGTAACAAGAATACGGTATATACCGTCTTAAAATACTATCTAACTAAAAAGTGTGAAATAAAAAAGGTAAATTTAAAAAATCAAAAAACCCGACTGCTTAATTATACTTCAAATAAAAACTGAAAAGAAAAAAAACAAGTCCAGTAGTCTATAATTCTGTTAATAAGGAACAAAGCTACTTTAACAGTCGGGACCCACTGTTGAAAAATATTATGTATTCTTGAATATCTAATGGGTCCCGACTGTTAAAGTAGCTTTGTTTGTTGGTTGTTTGTTTTGTTTTAACTGAACATGTCTTTAAAAAGCTTTGAACAAACAAAACACCCTCCGTGTTTTTTTTGTAAGCCTAAGACCGTATACAGAAAGAAAGCCGAAAGCCGATCGGCGCCGATCAGCGTCGATCGGCGCCGATCAGCGTCGATCGGCGCCTATTGACGCTGATCCTTTTTCTATGGACCGGCGCCGATCGGCGCTGATCGGCGCCGATAAGCGCCGACACGCGCTGGTCCGAATAATAAATAATTTGTATTTGAATTATTATCCTTAGATTAAATCAATCTAAGTTATAATCTTTTTATAAATCTAATAACTTTGTCTTTTATTAACTAAGCGCTAAAATTATTTGTTTCGTACTTACCGAATGGTAACAAGTCTTTCTTCTGGAAGGATTGGTTGTTTATGCCAATTTTTCATCAAACGGTTTTTCACTAAATCCAAAATGTAATAAAATGTTTCTTGAATCATTCTTGTATATGTATAAAATCTTTGTTCATCAAATTTAATTTTTTTTACAAATAAATGATGGTATTCTCCGAAACGTTTCATTTCTCTATTTATAGGATGTATAGCTGTTTTTCGCATTTTTAAATAAACATTTTCTAACAAAACCAAATCATCGTCCGATAAGTCCGACATTTTGCTTGATCTGCTTTAATCGGCTTCCTTTATGTAGGAAGGATCGGCGCCGATAAGCGCCGATCGGCTTTCGACTTTCTTTCTGTATACGGCCTAAGATAAACAACATTTTAAAAATTTACGATAATTTTAAATATATGTAAAAAAATTGTTTGGTGATACAGATGTTTTAAACATTTTTTCTTATGCTTTTACACTTGTTTTATGAAATAAAATCAAAAAGAATTCATTTATTATGTCAGTTAGCCATTATTTGGAACGAACTGTGTACTTTTAGGTTTTTTTCTTTAAAATCGTTAAAAATTATTAAAAATAAAATGGTCAGACTTCGTCTATGATAAGTATGGCTTAAATGTTTTTAAATGGTCTCTGTTAGCTTTCCTTTAAAGCTTTGCATTTATCTTCCAAACACCCTGTATAAACTAATTTACACCACAGCAATAATGTTTTATGTAAATGAAAATTTGTTATTTTGTAGTGTAGTAAGAAATCGGCGGCGGCCGACATTCTTTTTTAATCGCGGGCTGATAAATGAACAAAATGTTAAAAATAAAAATAAAATGTTTTCTTATTTTAGAAAAATATAATACTAAGAAGAAAGCCTGTTACGTTGCCTAGATAAATATTACATTTGATAATTTTTAAAGTATATTTTTGATACTTGATGTTGTTCTTGCCGAGGCAAACAAAAAAAAAAACATAATTTCATCTAGATTTAATTTTAAAATACATTTCTTTACACTTTTCTCTTTCCTATTTAAATTAATTTAAGTTTCGGCAGACCTGACTCGATTTTTTTCGATTCGGTAAAAGTTGCCGAACTTCGGTAATACCGAATGTGAAATGAATTTCGGAGCATCCCTACTAAAAACAAATAATTTATTTTCAGATGGTGAAGAACAAGATTCCTTAGAAGATAACTACCAAGACGAAGAGGAAGAAGACGTAAAGCCGCCTAACAATAATGTCGCAGACATCTTAAAGCGGCTCCAGTCCACGGGGGCTCTTATCAAAAAGCCTAAGCAGGAGTACAAGTGTTACACCTGTGACGAAGATTTCTCTGCCTGGTCAGTGCTAGAGAATCATCTTATTCAACACGTGTCTTTGCCCTCAGTGGTGCTCGACAAGCTGCCGTCCGACGGAGAAGATTCTGCTCCACCATCTGGAGATGAGAATTGGTCCGACGAAGATGATGTACCAGACCCACCCAAAGCGGCGAAAACGACGCCCCAAAAAATAGATATATCTCAAATACTTAAAAAAACCGGTATTACTCTTAAAAGTACAGCCGACCAAGATAATAAATCTTCAAATTCAGCATTAAGTAAATTAAGTGGATTAGGTTTTACTATAAAGAAAAACTCCGTGTCAGTTAAAAGTGAACCAGAACCTGTAACTGAAGGTAATAACGATGTTATGAAAAAACTAGGTCAATTAGGAGGCATCAAACTTAAACTCAAATCTGATGGTAATAATTCGAATTCATTCAAAGTAATAAATGGATTAAAAGATTTTAAAGCATCTGACGACGAGGATGAAGGCAGTGGTAGTGAGAGTAAAGATGGTCATGATTATGAAGACGAACATGACAAATCTGGAGAAAATGAAGGTTCCGGTGGAGAGCAAGAACATTCAGATGAAGATAACTCTAACGGCAATCGAAAAAGTTCAGATAGTGACGATGGCACAGGCAAATCGCCAGTAGATAATAAGATCACTAATGCTCTTAAAAACTTACAAACAAAGGTTATAAAAACAGAACCCACGAAAAATATACAACAAGCAAGAGTTGTATCAGAAGACGCACCTCCTGCCAAAGTACCTGGGAGGCCTGTTGTTAAACAGACACCTAAACGAGGAGCTAATCTTCCAATGAGCGCCAGAGAACCACCCCAACAACAGCACACTATGGAAACACCTTCTTCAAACATAAAAAGTGCTTCAATTGGACATCGAGAATCTAGAGAAAGTACTTCTAATATGGAAAATGTGGTAGTAAAGAAAGAAATTGACTCAGGCGAGCCTCAATCGACAAATTTGCCTTTATTTTCAGGACAGATTAAATCAGAAAGAGCTTCACCACCACCGCAGTCGAACGATCATGTATCAACGCCTGCTATTGCAACAATAAAAACAGAACCAGATGGAAATTTACCGTCAAGTACGCAGTCATTTCCGTCCTCCACCCCTACTACTCCGCTCCTTCCTGTAACTAAAAAGGAAGATACAAGTATGACAATCATCGAAATTAACGGTGATTCCAATGATGAGGATGACGATTGCTGCGTTGTTTCTGCAACCCCAGCACCTGATATAAAACCTGTTATACCAAAAGTAGAAAATGTGCCACCCACATATCCTCCTCCAGCATATCCAACTTCTACTTCACAAGCGAGCTATAATTCACCTAACATTCTACCTTCTCGTATGCCAAGTACGCCGTCGACTGAGAAACAGCACAACTTCAACTGGAATGCTCCTGACTCTAAGCCACCAATCGATATGTTAGAAAAGAGTGCTGATGATATATTCGAAAGCCTGCTGTCCTCTGCAACAAAAAAAGAAAATCTGTCTTTATCAGACGCCAGTGAATACATTTCTTTAGATACTTTAGGACCACAACAAACCTGTGAGGTTTGTAATACTAGATTTACTGATATGTCTCTTCTCGAGGAACACAGGCGGATTAGTGGCCATACAAAATGTCTTCTGCCGTCGCAATCTTCTACTCTATTACCATATACTCCATCTTCTAGTATTCTCTCTAGTTTATTACCAGTAAAACAATTTGCTGAGCAAGTGGGAAAACTGTCGGCGATTGGTAACAGCTCATCTGGATTTACACACCAGCAAAACGTCATGATAAATATTCAAGCATATCCGGGAGCTGGCGGTGTAATGGTGCCTCCGCAACCATACAATGCTTATACTTCTACACCTGGACAGACTATGCATTCCGGATATCCAGCAGGTCTCAACAACATGTACGGAGGTCCTGGGCAAACGATGCCAGGTCAGTACCCTGGACAGCATTATATGGGACAACAATCTTACGGTCAGTTCCAGCCGCCTATGTCTAAACCAGGGTATCCCGGAGCACAAAACACGTTTTCAACATCAACACCATATTCTACAGCATCTCCACTTCAAAATATGCAACAGGCATATGGCCAGCCTTCGCCTGGTATGATGAGTACACAGTCACAAATGGGCCAAATGGGGCCTCCCGGGTCGTCACCGGGTCAGTACGTACCTGTGTCCAGTCCGAGTGGGTCTATGAAACCACCTGGTAGCGGAGTCAGAATTCAGAACGTTCAGACATTTCCCCCTGGGCAAATGGTGATGCCTGGACAGACTGTTGCTCCTGGGCCCGATATAAGTGGGCAAGTGGCGGGAGCTCAAATGCCTGCACCCAGCACGATAAGAATGGCCGCGGGTGCTACTGTGACGGGAGCAAGACCGAGAATGCCAACTGTAAGAGGACCGAGGCCGTCCATACGACCTGGCATTCAAGTTCACGGTCAAGTGCGCGGACAAAAACCTGGACAACGAATGCCAATGAAACGGCCAGGACAAATAGTGACTGGGCCAGTGCAAAAGCGGCGCCCTGATATGCTGTTGCCTGGTAAACATGACAACGAAGACTGTCAAGTAATGGCGATGCAGAAACAACGTGACGGATTGCCTATGATTCAAAGTGTACAGGGCGCCAAAGACAAACTAAACCTTGGTAGTCAAATATCAATCACCAAAAAGACTGTCAACAAAGAAGCGAACGCTATGGCGAACGTATTAGCTTCTCGGGGTATTAGTGTGAAGCAAAAACAGAAGAGCCGGTCGCCTACACCAGAAAGGCCGTTACCTCATATTCCAAACCTTGGTGCTGGCATGAGTATAAAGCATACGTCCAAATCCAGCAATTTCTCTATACCAGAAGCGAAGGTCGGCGGGGGGATGTTAGCGTGCAAAATATGCAAGAAAATGTTTATGAATCAAAACTCGTTGCTCGTCCACATGTCTGCGGCTCATCCGCAGAGTAAGATACCAATGTTCAAATGCGACGAATGCCCGGCGTCATATCCCAAGTCGTTACAGTTGCAACATCACAAAAGGGTATTCCACAACGTGACCGGAGCTAATCGCGAATTGGGCTTGCCGGTTGTGGACTTATCACAAGAAGACAATTTAAAACGTTTAAGTAACCTAGGTATATATAGTTTTATTCCATTGGCGAATAGAGAACAAGCCAGTGGCTGTTTCGGTATTCCCGTCATCTCAGTGCATAATATGCAAAATGGTATGACAAACAGTTTGCAAGCTCTGGGCGCAGATGGATTATTAAGTTTAGGGCCTCTAAAACCTCTACCAAATAATTAATTTGTTTTTCTAATGTGCAATTGGCGAAGGATGCATCTGATGAATAGTGTACATATACAGTTTATTGTGATTTGTTCACTGTATAAATATTTTTCTAATTAAAATAATATATTTGTTTAACAAAGTACTAACATTGGAAATTGTTATTCATTTGAAGTTCTCTCAAAATATTATTATACATTAGCAAACTTATTTTTCACTTGAACAGAGATTATTTGCATGTAGTACTAAGAGCTTATGTCGTTGAATTTATTTTTAGTTCCTCAGTTGTAACTATTTGATTGTGATTCTAAAAAAATCTACCCCTTAAATAACGTGGAATAAAGTTAGCCTACGTCAAAGGCTATTGCTGTGTCTATTTTCTCTCTTGCAAACAAAGGTGATATAGTATTTATTTAGACCGGATTTAACTTTAGTCTACGTTTTGCAATAAAGGGGATAATGTTTAGAATAACTTTATTTGATATTGGAAGTTGTTTTAAAGATTGTAGGTATATTTATTCATATTCGTGGATTGTTTTAAAGTCAACATAGAACATAGTTTTTAAGTACAATAAGAAGTTTTTGTTTTAAGTGGTCAGTATAGTTTTGAAATTAGTAAAATTATGTCTTTCTCGAGATTATGTTGAAAGATATTTAATGTTCATGGTTATCATGCTACTACTACAAGACTTACTACAGTAAAGTAATTAAAAAACATGTATTTTTATTACTTTGCTGTGTAAAAAACGTGTTTTTTAATTATATTGATAAAGCGAAAGGATTATTTTTTGTACTTAATATATTAAGTTATCCATAATTTGACCTTTAGATGCCTTTACAAAGAGGTATATTTTTGTTATTTGGTTCAGTCCATCTGCCACATTAAATATTTATTAACGCCCTTCTTCACTTGATATAAATTTCATAATTCTCATCAGAGCATAAAAGGTCGAGGCTCCAATTCTAGCGGGAAATCCGCAATGACGTATCTTCTAATTTTAAAACAGCGAGAGTAACAAAACTGGAGGGCTTATTCCGAAAGTCCTAAACGTTACAGTTACGTATTGTGCGATGTAAGCCGTGGAATACATATAAAGTTTTAAATGGAGATTTTATCAGCCTAATTTTGTATGTGAACCAATGAGCCTTTGATTATATACACACCTGGATACCTTATTTACTGCACGAAAGCGCCCCAAAAATATCTACTACGCATGGTAGATAAGCTCGTCGCTACGCTCGCAAACATTGACTGCTTTTAAACAATCTGACATTAGGGTCATTCACACTATTAATATAATCAAAGCAGGGAGCGGACAAAATGGTGTCGCTTTGACATATTGAGCTCTAAATTGAAAGACATAGAGCATTTAACATTTGTATCTTTATTTGGGATTAATATCCTTAAATCTGTAACTCGCCTCCCAGAATCGCCGTTTACTTCCATGCCGTCTTCCCAGTGCAAAACCTGTCCTTTGGTCTTTAAGGTTCTGATTTGTTTTTATGACACGCGTACCACGGCCACAAACCTCTTCAATTTTTTTTATGTTTGATACGTAGTTAAATCGGACTATAGTTAAATTTCTTTAGAAAAAGCATAATTTTTTTTATTTTACTTATTTTACTATGCATTCGATGTGACATTGACTTACAGTCAAGTTTAACTATGTTGTTTGACAGCGCAGTACTTAGCCGGCTTATCATTTTTTGTATGCGATAATGGTATTTTTGTATGATTGAGTAATGATTTATTTAAAGTGATAATATGCTATTCATTATCGTGAAATACTTTGGACATGTTCAATAAAAATAAAAATACTTTATTAGAAGTATTTTTTCATTTAAATTTTATATATTTTTTATAGATCTGAATTTCTTATAAATATTAAGTATAAATTGAGCCAGACCGATTTAAGCACCACAATATTGTTCATATTCCTATATATCAATATGTAACAATTTCCTGAGTCTTCTTTCAACATGGCATCGATTATACGTGGCAGGTTTATATGTACTTACAGCCGATTCCACAATTTATACAGTTGAATTTATTGTAGTCATTTGACTACCACATGACATAAAAATTCTAAAATTAAAATAATAGTACAGTCATTTGGTAGGAGTACACTTTGCGGCGCTCGTACACCAAAACTATTGATTTTATGAAAAAAGGTAGATACATAAATTGTAGGCAATTGTCTCTAGTTTCATTTTGTATGAACTGCTTTTATCGTAAAAAGAGTTGGAAAGGAGATATTGTCAAAAACTGCTTTTAGGCGCCATTTTTCCAATTGCGGCGCGAGCGGCAAAAATACAAGGTGGCAAAGTCGAAATTCGGAAAGACAACCTCAAAATATATAAAATTACCAATTTTCAAAACTCCCGGAAAACTTTCCAGGTAACCACTATATTTCTCACCAAATGACTATGATAAAACAAAAATTTTTTTAAAAGAACTTTAGAAGTTATTAAAATTATTTGTTAGTTCAATAAGTGTATTTTTGACATAACAGATCATAAATAAATATGGAATATTATATTATAAACAAACTCCATTTTGCCATGAGTTGTCTTAAGAGATATAATTTAACACTTTATAACTATAATAGCAAAAGAAGTGATCATATCTGGACAGTATCGATTTTAGAATACTTTAAATCTAATAATGATATTTCTGATGGCCTCTGTAACTACATATTTTGAAAATCTGGAATAACTCTTGTCAGAATCCTTTTATTTCCTTGTATTCCCATCCAATGAGTGTTATTGTTCAATTCAATAATTATTTTTTTATTATTAGAAATGTAATAAGCCAATTACTCGCACACACACAATTTGAGGTCTTCAGTGACCTAAATGTATTAAATTTCATTCCTGGTGAACATTCTGTGTATTTTCGGATCTACATGGGGTGCTCTGGATCTGGCACTAATGACGTTTTTATGGAAAAAACACGTCACTACTTGGCCCCACTGTAACGTAATGTCTTTTGTATGAAGTTTTAGGCGCGAATTAATCGAACTAGCGTTTAAATTGATACATGGATTATGACGTCTCAGCGGTGCCACCTAGCGACCACCATTTAAGAAAACCTCTCCTCATTTGTAATGTTCAATGTTGAGCTATAATAATGAAACGTTTGTTGCCTATAATGGTATACCAAAAGTTATCTGGCTGTACCCCATGTATGAATTGTTCTAGTTTTCTTCCCTGCACCTTATACATATTTAATATTCTAGTCCTGGTGATTTAAAATGCGACATGACACATTAATGTTTCATTTACAAATTCTTCAATTTGAAATTAATGACATTATCTAATGTAAATTGTCAACTTGCGTATTTTCAAATAAATTAGGGTTCATTTTTATGTGTTATGGCAAGATTTTATGAACATTATATGAAGTCTAGTTTGACAGCTGTCAATCCTAAATTAAATATGAAATCTCGAAATTTTGGACCTACAGCATGCAGATAATAAAGAAGGATAAATAAACATTTATAGCAAACTTTAAATCGACCAAACGATTTTGAACTTTAATCTCAAATACGTTAAGGGTGAAAAATCAAAATACATGTTATTACTTGATAGTTTTTTTATGTGAGGTGTCTATAATTTCCACTTCTCTGTGTTTAAATCTCTTCATTTGTATTTTTACTATAATTGTATGAAAATCAATACACTGCTTTCGCTTATAGTATTGGAAAAGTACCTACCAAGTGGGCAGATACATATTACATTTCCTTGTTTTAATAGAAGACCTACAATTAGACATGACAATGAATAAAAAGTTTCTGCATTGTTTTGTTTCCAATGTCACACCACTTGCAAGATTTTGCCATTGATAATGTTAAAAATAATTAAAGGTGGCGGATTTTACACCCTTCCAATAATTCTATTAGTAAGTCATGAAAGTAACAATACACAGCTTAAATAACTCGACTCGAGTTTCATTTTAATTTTAAATGTTTTCTTAGTTAGTTTATTGGTTTATAAAAACATGCATTGTAAATAAATTGAGTGCAAATTCGTTAGCTTGTAAAAATGCTATCTAACAAAAGTACGGTGCAAACTGATGTTTAGTTTTATAAGGAGAGATAATATTTTGAGTTTATTTCTATAATATTAAATAAGTAACTATTAAAATATAACAAGATTTTGTATTTGAGTTTATATTAATATTTATAAGAAACTTTGAACTATGAAAATAAAAATACATTAAGATACGAGAGTTCGAATAGACGAATAAAAACTATTCAATATGGTCTTAGTGTTTTATTAAGTAGGAAATAGTTTCATAGAAATACCACATGGAGCAAATCCGAAATGTTTTCTCCTTCATACAAGGGCGTCGCCGAATCCTTAGTCCATTGATTTAATTGGCTTGCATGACCAAACATTACTGCAAACTAATGTATCACCTAGTGGGTGATTCTAATGCCAGCTGAGTTCATACTTTTACACAGTCTAAATATGAATTTAAAGTTGCCCCCCCGCCTAGCCATCGCCAGGCGACATCGTTGCCGTGATATGTAATTGTCTAAGATCCGAAGAGTTCTCCTCTATCGATCTGCTTACCAGACTGTTCAGTAAGCATCCGTGGTTCAGTGGTAGAAAGCTAGCCAGCCACGCGAGCGGCCCGGATTCGATTCTGAGCCAAGAAAACCCCTTTTTTTTATTTTGCACATTTCATAATAGTAACATCTAACTACCTGGCCTGCATTATCTCTTGAGGCGATGTATAACACGAAGGGTTTGACTTGCATCGTGGTTTTTTATAAAACCAAATAAAATCCGAATTTGAGTAGGTAAGCAAATACGAACGAAGGCGGAATGTATTTCATAATCCGCACTGGGCCTGCGAGGTGGGTCATGCCTGCATACAACGATATTAAATACCCTAGATACACCAACACGAACAAAACAGTGCCGGAAACCTGTCCAAAAGGTACATTGAACGATCCACGGAGCTCCGTAATAGCAGACGACGGGCGGGGCGGGCTCTTTGTCCGCGAAGCAATAAAGACCGCGTCTGCCCGTCGATGTCTGCGGCTGCCCGCGCCGCGTACACAAAGCACACGACGGGCAGAGGCGGTCAGTTCAGGACGTTCGTTCTAGTGAATAGTCCATCACTAAAAAGCGTGTGGCGTGGAATGAGCTGACCGCCCCGCGCCGCCGTCTGCGTTACTGCATATAAGCTGGTTTATATGATCCACGGCGGGCAGTCGCGGACATGCCGCGCCGCCACTGCCCGCCGGGCACCTGCGGCGCGGTCTTTTTGCCCTCATTACATATAGGAATCACTTTGTGCTATTATTCGTGGCGAAATTGACCGGCCCGCCCCGCCCCGTCGTCTGCAAAGCGCCTAAGTTGATCGCGTAGTCAAAATTAATATAAGGCATTATTTAAATATTGAAAGTAACCTTTAATACATACTGTATAAGGTTTTAAATAAAACGCATGCGTCAAGGACTTCTAACAGTTCGAAATGTGAGCTCGTAAAATTTTACGACATTGCTATATGCGGAAGAATTTAGACCTTAATTCTTTGACTCTATGCGCAATTCTGAACGCGCTATTAGCAATATAGCAGGCACGGACCGCGAGGAAAAGTGACAGCTATATGGCGACGTATGGCCGTATACAGAAAGAAAGCCGAAAGCCGATCGGCGCCTATTGACGCTGATCCTTTTTCTATGGACCGGCGCCGATCGGCGCCGATAAGCGCCGACACGCGCTGGTCCGAGTAATAAATAATTTGTATTTGAATTATTATCCTTAGATTAAATCAATCTAAGTTATAATCTTTTTATAAATCTAATAACTTTATCTTTTATTAACTAAGCGCTAAAATTATTTGTTTCGTACTTACCGAATGGTGACAACAAGTCTTTCTTCTGTAAGGATTGGTTGTTTATGCCAATTGCCCCAATTTTTCATCAAACGGTTTTTCGCTAAATCCAAAATGTAATAAAATGTTTCTTGAATCATTCTTGTATATGTATAAAATCTTTGTTCATCAAATTTAATTTTTTTTACAAATAAATGATGGTATTCTCCGAAACGTTTCCTTTCTCTATTTATAGGATGTATAGCTGTTTTTCGCATTTTTAAATAAACATTTTCTAACAAACCCAAATCATCGTCCGATATTTTGCTTGATCTGCTTTAATCGGCTTCCTTTATGTAGGAAGGATCGGCGCCGATCGGCTTTCTTTCTGTATACGGCCTATAACCGACCATGCATTTGAATATACAAATATTTTATATTAAATCAGTTTATAGTAAGTATTAGATCAAAATTTACTTCAAATGCGTTAAATTAACAAACATTAACTAGATACCTGTCGAGAAAACGACACTTTTCTTACTCTAAGTATTATTTTCGCGGAGCTCTGTGCCATCTTGACTTTGTGTGGAGTTCAAGCACTTCTTGATTGGGACACATATTGAGAGGTCATGGTGTATCATAGGGTATTTAATATCGTTGCCTGCATATTCTATTCATAGAGTAGGCTAGTAGTAGTAGGTACTATTATTAGACTGATGATGATGAGGAGGAACTCAATGGCGCAAGTGGTTAATGCCTTCGGTCTGTTATCGTGAAAGTTAAGCAATTGTTGCAATGCTCGGTCATTGTATTGGTGACCAAAAACTAACTCGAGCTCCTCCGTGCTTCGGAAATCACGTTAAATCGTTGGTCCCGGCTGCATCTGCAGTCTAACATCTACCGCACTGGGGACGTATGGTGGGTCACGGTCCAGTATCCTTATTCCATGCACAGGTAAGGCCTGTGTCCCTGCAGTGGGGACATTAAGTCGTAATGATGATAAAGCAACTTTTACAGTGGTTGTTCATGGGATGATAATTAAAAATTTACTACCTCGAACCCCTCGTGCTCGACAGCGCAAGTGGCTACTTAGAGAGTTCAGAGAGAGTTCTGCAATCGTAGAATTCAACGCACTTCCGCTGTGGTCGTCATAGGATGGGTGACCAAATTAAACTATTTCATGCTTCGGAAAACACGTCGAGTCATTGGTCCCGGCTGAGTAGAAATCTATCAGCACTGTGGTAGTGAAGTGGGTCATTGGCTCATCTCCATATTCCATCTACACAGCAAAATAAAACTGAATTGAAGATTCGGTTCGTAATCATAAGACTTTCTTTCGCGTGGCTGATTTAATTTTAATAAATAAAAGAGTTTCCAGGTTTACAATTATTTATTTCTCCTTACACAATAAAGCTTTCAAAGACAGATGTATTTGGTAATTCATTCCAGAGGACAAGATAATGTGCTCATATAAAAACAGACTTCATTAATTACAGTTGCGCATAAAGTAATTGAGAATGTCAAGCAGAAAGCAGGCATTTCTGTGTACCAATGCATAGGCTGTAGAACAAATTTTCGCTGGCCTCAAAAATGCCCACAGATTGTTTTCTGCTTAACAATGCTGAAGAGAATTATTGATGTAAAAAATAGCAAACATCTAAATACATACACGGCTATACAAAATTGACTCTGTAAATTAATGAACACTTCAAACATTTGAGATTTGACAATAAAATGCTGCTGGAATGTTGACCATAATTTTCTTACCATGCCAGATGGAAATATGAACTCTGGCATCACTAATCATTAGTGAAATTTCCATGAATGACTAAAATGGAGGTTTGTTAGACAGTTTCACATAATTCTCGGGATCTACTGCTACCATTGCACTATACCGCTTAAAAGTTTAATCTGAGATAATTAAACGATTGACTAGCTAGCACTTTTTTGTGTTAAATAATCACTCAACTGTCAAGCTCGCGCAACTTATATGGAAACTAAAATCTTAGTCTAATTAATATAATAAGATAGGGCATTTCTTAAGGTATCATTTTATGACAGAAATGTGTAAGAAATCAACTGCAAAAACAAATATTTCTGGGAACATTCTGATTGAAAAGTAATGTTTGGGGCTAGACACAAACAGTTCAAAGCATTCAAATAATTCGTGCATTTTGTGGCCAGTGTCTTTCTTAAAAAAACCTTATCCATGGACAGTTCAGTGAAAAAGTTATATTTAAAATTCCAAGGAATTTTAAACTCATTGGCATGTGAAACAGGTCACTCGAATGAGTAGATATAAGTCTCTAAGAAAACTCATCTAACAAAACCTTTTTTAAGGTGGGTGAATGGTTGTTAGTGGCTTAATAGTTTATTCAAGACGGATGAGCTCCACATCGAAGATGAGGGTTGCATCAGGAGGGATGACTCCAGGGTGGCCTTGCTTGCCATAGGCATAGTCAGAGGAGCACGTCAGCTTGGCTCGTTCACCAACAGACATCTGGGAAAAGGTTTTCAGTGTATAATTATAATCTGAACTTACAATACAATCAGAATTTATAAGATTTTGTGGAGCAGCAAACTTTTTGAGCAAATCCATGGAAAAAGAAGTAACACAGTAGACGTTTTTCTATGTAAAATAACTACTGAGCAGACTTCCTTATCTTTGGTTGTTGCTCAAGAAGATTGCAAGGGTGTATAATTTTTTAAGATCTTCCTATTTTAAATTAAATGGAAACAATTGTCAAGCATTCCTTTACTATTTTTGAAATTTAGTGAAGGATAAAAAGGACCTGGAAGAAAATTGGATGTTTGTATAATTTACCTTGGCAACACCCTCATCCCAGCCTCTGATGACTTCACCTTTGCCAATTCTGAACTTGAAAGGCTTGCCGCGGTCACGGGACGAGTCAAACTTTTTCCCATTTGTCAAAGTGCCAGTGTAATGAACGACAACAGTCTGACCAGTCTTCGGGTAGGTTGATTCTAGAGCCAAAAATTAAATACATATGTGTTAATAGGAATCTCTGATTTATAATTTGATTGGTTTTGGGCAAAGCCATTTGCATAATAATTCTCCAACTCTTCACAATGAATTGGAATTTGACTGGATTTTATAAATAACCCACAAATCCATACAGTTCCAATTGGTTTTTTGAGAGTTGGTATATGTTATTAATGTTATACTTAGTACTTGGGCTTGGAACTGCAAGAGGAAATTGGATTAAGCTTTTCAGTTTTCTCTCTAACAAATGCTAAACAATAATCATAGCAGAATAACACAGTAAGGTTGTGGGAAAATAGCAAGTCAATGCTATGAAAGAAACTGTATAGATACGGATATAGTAGGCTTCACCTATTCATTGGATGAGCGGTTAGCGTCTGTTTTTTTGGATAAAGATAGATAGGTGCTGATAAAATGTATTAGGCGAAGCTAACCTTCAACTAAAGTAAATTACAACTAATATTAGTTATTTTCATCATAAATACTTAGTCGACATATTTAAACGTAAATTATCAGCGAATTCAGTAATTCAATGAAAGTTACTGAATTAAAAAGGCGCTACCAAATTATATTTGGTTAGATAGATTATTGCAAAAAAGAAATGAGCACACTTACCGTCTCCAGGACTGATTGTTTCTACATTTACGCCCATGTTTTGTGTGGATGTATTTACAAGTTTATAAATGTAATAGAAAATTAAAATTTTCCTCAATGCGGCAGTGAATGACTAAAGAAAAATGGCGCCCTGCCGCTACTAGTGTAGTAATGTGAATGAAAAAAGGGTTTTTATTAAAACCGATAATCAACGAATGTCATTTAAAAACCGATTAACTTATATTTTGAGTACCTATCCAAATTTTTATCTCTCACTTATTTTGTCTATGCTAGGGGAGTTACCGAATATCTCGTTCCAAGACTGACCTTACACAACAGATTGTATAAGGAACTAGAAATCAGAATCTGAATCCATAATATAAATTCATATTATTAATTTAGAGAGTACGAAATTTATACTAAATTACACTACAAACTTGCCCGGTTTATTGCATTGAAATCCGTATCGTAACGTACGATAACGTAAGTATATCAGATTTTTAACATTTTTTTTGTTAAAAATCTGATATACTTACGATAGTACTACGACTTAGCAGGTAGGTAATATTTCCTTTTCTAGGTAGACATCTGCCCTCTCAGGAGGTGGAGAACTGGTCGGTGGCGCCGAGCCCGCCTTCTAGCTCTCTAGTGGAATTTTCTGTTACTGCCAGGGGAGGGTGCTCCATGGCACCATCGTGAGAGGGTAGGAACTCAGGCGTGCGTGACAAGCGGCGACTTATAACTGGATCCCGCAGTTACGCTTGGAGGGTGGGGTACATCCGGGAGTTGGTAGTTTTTACCTGGTAGGTACGGGAGCAGGTCGGCTGGCTAGCCGCTCGGACTGCGGTCCGTGGGACTAGTCAGGAGACGCTGTGAACAGAGACGCCCAGGCTCAGCCGATCCGAAGTGGGTGCGGGTAGGGTTGCATGTCGAAGGCATGGTGGTTTGTCGTCTGCCGCGCTTACATGAGCGCTCGTCAAAGTATATCTACACTGACTAGTAGCCCTCGGGCTGCTCGCCACTGGCCGAATGCGCAACGTAATTACCTGCGTCGCTAGGATTTGTTCACAGCAATCTATCGCGATGTTGGTCATTGTCGTGGTAATAACGTATTTTTTCTCCCCGGCATCGAAACAAAATTTAGACATCTGCCTTGTCGCATATTACAACAATGCTAGTGTTAACAAAAGACAAAGATACATGAAATAAAACGGGTAGTTTATTACGGTTATAACGGTAGTTTTAACGGGTTAATGCATGAACTTTATATATTTATTGACGTTTCGCAGCCTTTTCAGATCTCCATCGTCAGAATAATGATCGAATCATTACGTCAATAAATAAATAAAGTTCGTGCATTAATCCGTTAAAACTATTTAATGAGTGATGTGCGTGAAAACCTAAGAAACAAATACAAAGATACATTTTGACTGAAAGGACACCTACGACGATCTAGGGACAAATCGTATTTATTAAGAAAGAGTTTTTATCAAGCCATCGGTATACATCGGTTTTAAAAATCGTAATTGGTTCATCACTAGCCACCACACATATTAGTGATGCGACATGCACAGCAATTCGGAAATAGCGATGAGCAAGTCAATTTTAATTAAAATCGTCTAGACTAAAATAAGCAATTATATTTTTCAGTGTACTATTTGTATAGTGTGTGTGTGTCTATATAACTTGATCTATTCTTTCATTAGTTTAGAGATTGGTGTCAATTCCGGCATGATTCTCTAAACTTAAAACTAAATTTGACATCAGTCTCTCCTTTTCATTCTTTAAAGAAAATGATAAGTATACGTTGTCTTATTTAAATTTAGGTTTAGAGAATCATGCTAGAATCGACACCATTGTAGATTTTTCTTTAGCCATTGGTGTTGATTCTGGCATGATTCTGTTCACTCAAAACTAAATTTAGCATCAGTCTCACCTTTTCATTCTGTATAAAGGATGACAAGAATACAATATTGTGAAAAAGTTTAGGTTTAGATAATCAAGCCAGAATCGAAACAATTATCTAATAAACTAGCACTGATTAGAAATTGAGAATGGTTGAGATTTTAATACAATTTCCGAATTTGCTGTTGGTTTCTAGATGCTTTATAATTCTTTCACACAAACCTTGTTCTGTATAAAGAATACAATAGAGAAAAGTGCGAAAGTTATGAAAAGGGGGATACAAGATGTCAAGTAGTGGCATGCTTAAATAAATATTCCTAATTACAGGTAGGAGCGTATCTGGTGCCTCCACTTACGATTTGGAAGGTAGGGAAATGATATTTTAAGGTTGTGGTAGTGCATTGCCCCGCAATGACTATCCCTCCCTACAGCTACGGCCTTGGACGGCAAATATTAAAATATGCCCGTGGTAGAGTGCGGGTAAATCTCTTCAAGCTCAAACTACTGTTAGAGATTTATAGATTATTACAAAAATCTATAGTGTCTCCACCATGGAGGTTAGAGAGAAGGAGAACGATCACTGTAGTAAATCGTGTCACATTTGGACAAAATAAGTCTCAATAAAAGCGGGCTCTTGTGCGCTAATTCGAAATGATCTTTCAACGTTTAATAAACGTGTATAAGCCAACAGCTAATTTCACAGATACTACTTACCGATGGCAGAGCGGTTGTGGCTGAATGATGAACTATAAATTCTACAAATTTTCAGGGACAGGCTAGTGCTAGTTCTAGCGCGTAGCGATCGTTCTCCTTCTCTCCAATCTCCATGGTCTCCACCATGCAGATGCCAATGTCACAGTGAATTGATAGGTGTGAACGCCTATTACACAACCTAATTTTAAGGGCCATATCTAAAGGGTGGACGTGTCCTTGGCTAGGGTAGTAATAGGGAAGATGCAATATTTTTATTTTTGTTTTCATTTTAAAGAATTCCATGTAGAATAAACCACAGATATATTAAAAAATTAAAACATTGTGATTTATCGGAAAAAATGCGGTTTTAAATTGACAATTTAAATTTTCGCGCGAAAACGAACCTATGGTTGCGATGACGTCACTCCTGTCTGTCAATGGTCGTAATTGTTCATTGCTGGCTTTAAATTTTCATACTTTTGCATATTTTTTCGAATTTCGAAATTTCTTTTTGAAAAATTTAAAGTGGACTATCCATCAACATCATGTGATCATAACAATACCACTAATATTCCGAGAAAAAAAGCCGTGTTGACTCATGTTTTGTGCCAACCTACTTCAACAAAGTTCCCAAATAAATTGTTTTTGACTGGAACTTCTGACCCAAAATTGAAAAAAAAGTGGTTTCAAGCTACGAAGAGAAATGACAATTATTCTGCAAAGACCATTATTCGATGCTGAGAAGATCACTTTGACGTAAGTCGGCGAATATACTTGTTATATGCTTAATTAATCTGCTTGTACGTAAAAACGCATCAGTAACCTACCTAATACTTACAAAACCTGTCTATAACATATTTTTAATTTTACAGTTGGAGAATGACGTCGAAAATTAGATAAAGTTTAAAATGTGTGACACAATCTTCACATTGGCAGGACTGAACCAAGCTTTGCGTTTCATTTAAAATAACTGTAACACGATAACCTTCTTTACGTACTTTATGCTCCGGAGAACTCGACCTTTGTAATTTAGTCCCTTTCATTTCTACACTTAAAAACTCTGCACTTTGGACAAAAAAAGTTATAACCATGTCAACGCTAACTCTTGGTAAATTCCTGGAGTCTGCTTTGATAAACGCAACTTCCATTTTTATTAAATGTAAAAAAACGCAATAAATATTCCCATAAAATAATATTTACTTTAACAACCATAACCTCAAAGAAGTTGTCATAACAGGAGTGACGTCACTAAACTCTGATTGGTGTTTTAAAATACGTTCCGTTTCAAGTATTTTTAATTCGTAATAATTGTTAAAAAACAACATTATGTAAAATAAAAACGTTGCAGTGGCATTTCTTTTGTATTTTTTTAACATTTTAATCATAAAATTTTCATAAATATTATATATGCATCTTCCCTATTATTACACCGCCCTAACAATCGGATCCTAACTCAGTCGGAAACTAAGTCTTGTCGGTTGAACGTCGTCGTTATGGCACCCGATGCATTTTGATCAAATTTTTATTTATAAACTTCTCGAATCCTTCGACACCTTTCTCTTTATTTAAAAGGAAATATGTAAATGATCATCAAAAACATTTCAAATTCTCATATAAATAAATACAAATGGTAACCCGAAAGTTAGATTATGTAACCAATTGTATTTTTTTTGAGAATTTACTATTATTTTTTGCCGATTATTTAAATATTTTATATATATTTCTTTTTTTAGGTTTTCACGCACATCACTTTTTAAATAAAACTAGTTTTTCACGGGTTAATGCACGAAACTATATTTATTTATTGACATTTTGCAAAATTTAAATCATTCCGACGAAGCAGCCTGTAAAGGCTGCGAAACGTCAATAAATAAAAAAGTTTCGTGCATTAACCCGTGAAAAACTAGTTTTATTTATATTACATATACCGTATATTGATCGTGTAGCGTACACACGATCAATATAGCATCACGGACACGATCGCCCTAGATCGGGTCCCTTACTCCCTAATCCTTATTATTACACCACCCTTAGTCAGGGTAAGGCTCCCTTAAGATTGGGTAGTCTGATGGCCTTGTTCTACTTTTAGTGCTATTGGGAGTGTGTGCAGTGCATTACGTAGGGGATAAGGTTCAGTTTGGCAAGGTAAGAAAAGTGGACCCAATTTTCTTTTTGTTCACTAATAGGATGACAGATAATTACAATCTAGGATCATGTTAATTGGGTTAAATGTGAGTAATTAATCGATTTTATTTAAGAAAGTAGTCCGATTAAGGTGTGCGTGGGTGCCTTTCTCCTTTTGATAAGTTGATTGTGCGACAGAATGGTTGGCAGTAAGAGTTGGTACCTATTATTATAATTCCGCTAGTCCAAGAAGGTAATTTTAAATACAAGTACTTCATTAGAATTTTTCTTTTATGCTGACGCAGTTTATTGTGTTTTTTTTGCACATTATGGCTAAGGTGCTTCCCGGTGCGAGGTCGCCATTGAAGCACCTTGGGACCCCAACGTTCATCGGTTCGCCGAGCTATGTGCCCCGCCCATTGCCACTTCAGCTTGG